CATGTTAAGCCATCAGAAGTTCATAATGGAACTGAAGGTCTGGGAAGTTTTCTGTGGGATTTAGCTCCTCCTTGTGGTTTTCCGGAAGATTTTATGGTAGTAAACAAACATTTAGGTTATTGGATTGATATTTCATTATAATGATAATATTCTGACAGTTTTTAATATTTAGGAGTAATATTTAAATAATAATAAAACATTTCATATGTATTTGATAAATAAATAAAAATTATTATTGCTTTTTACCTTTTCTTAAAATGATGGTTGGGCATACATGTTTACAAGTGAATCACTGCTTCCAGTGTTTGTAATGTGAAATGTTATTTTGTCAAAAAACAAAAAACACGTGGCATATGACATCAAGTGACCTATGTAAAATGTATAAATACTGTATGTAACACGATTAGTTCCATTACAAATATTTTATCACACATTACAAATTAAAAAAAAAAAATTCTTCTCACAGGTGAGCATGTGATGTGTCCTAGTCAGGGCCACTCTGGTTCATCTGCCACAGGCCATGTTAGTGATCCAGGAGGTCCAGCACTAGGTGGACCTGGTATTCGCACAGATCTGCATCCTCGCCCCCCTCAGCAAGTAGTGTATGTCTTCACCACCAGCCTAGCCAACAGGTCAGTATGATCGCTTTGTTCAGTGCCAGTAGTTTCTGCAGCTTGACAGTCTATTTTGAACAAATGGGATATTTACCATACATTGCCATGTCTAAGCCGGAAATTTCTGTGAAAGCCACAACAAAGGAGTTGATTTATATGCACGTATCATCTTAGCAGCCAATTTTCCACCACACTCTTTTAACAGGTGTAGGAGTGTGCTTTTACAAGCCATTGTCACGTGACAGAGTAGAAAACTATTAAAGTCATAGGAAACCGTTTCCTCCCTAATTTCTTTGTTGTTAAGTAGATTTAACAACCCTTTTTTATTTTCTGCAGTGCTGCAGAAGCAGTGATGCATGGCCACACAGACTCCATCCTCTTGTATCACCAGCAGAATGTCCCTCGTACCAAGCTGGATCAGGTCTGTCTATATGTATAGACACATGGTGTACTTACATGCCTTCATATTTTTATTATATTAAGTTGGTAAATGACATGGGTTTGTTTCTGTTTGTAAGTAGAGTGAAGAAATTGTGTCACAGCATCCACACTTGCAGGTGCTTGGTGGCGTGAGGCACTGTATTTGTTTAAATGGCTATTTAAATCACAATGCTTATCTTTGTTCCTGTTTCTGTTTTGATGAGAAACAGTACAGTTCAAGTCTTTTGTGATGTATTGAACTGAGATTAATAATGGCATTAACAGCACCCATTTCTTTCTCTCTTTCCTTTTTTGTATCTGTCTGAGCAGTCTTCTGGCATTGGAAAACTCTCCAACCTGACAGAGCAGATCAGCTCTAGTCACAGTCCGCCCATTGGCACACCCAAATCCCAAAGTGGTACACCCCGGCCACCTTCTGTTGGTGGAGTTGTTGGAGGACACCTTCCAGGCACCAGTACTCCTTCTTCTACAGGGCATCCAGATGGTGAGCCAGCCCAAACCCTCCGAGGAGGAGGCTCTGCAGTTCATTCACTGGGCCAAGGAAGTTCCGGCCCACAGTCTGTGGGAGTTTCAGGACCAGACGGAGTGGACAGGCCAGGTACTATTGCCCACCATGGTGCAGGTGTGTCTCCTTCGTTAAGTCCCTCTGCATTATCTGTACTCCGTCAGAGCGAACTGGGCCAACGTGGAGGGCCAGGAAACACAGATGGCCTCTCTAAGGAGCAGTTGGAACATCGTGAACGCTCTTTACAGACTCTTCGAGATATTGAGAGGTTGCTTCTCCATACTGGAGCCGGTGCAGGCCACGAGGAACCAAGAGGTCCTAATGGCAATCCTAATGGCACTAATGTTAATAACAATAATAGTAATGATGGAGGTAGAGGTTTGGAAGATGGTGAGAATGGTGGGGGGAATACTGGTAATTGCCATAGCAACAATGCTGGTATACCTGGTATGCCCCCTGTTGGTGGAATGAAAAAGTATGAGGAGCCG